GCCCGGCGGGGAACTTAGAAAACTTCCCGGGGCAGGACCCCGGTATGGGCCCCCCCAATATTTTTTACAAGTCGGCGCCCCTGGATAGGAGGGGAATTTGGGATGCTCACAGAAAGCATAGAGCCCAGAGGTCCTTAGAAAAGACACTATCTATTTCCGAGCCAGACTGAGAATTTAAGAATTCTGGATAGAATCTTTAACCAAATGGACTACATAGATAAGAAGAAAAGGGAAAGCCCCTAGTAAAAGGGAACTATTGGGTTTTCATACATGCAGAAGGATGGAAAGCGATTTATTTTTGAAATGATAATTACTGATTTATTGTGGATTTTTTAAATTTGTGGAGTAAGCTCACTTGTAGATGTTGCAATTGTTAAACTATTGTATGTGCAGGAATAGAGAAGTGCACAGTTGTTGGTGAAAGATGATAATTTAAAAAAACAACAACCCTGTTGTAATATAAGGTTAACGTTAAGAAATGGCATGTAAACTAGAAATAACTAGGGAAATAGATCAGCGACAAGAGGAAACCTTGCATGCCTCAAGAACAGAGTGAGGGAAACCAATATTTGGAAAAGTCATATTAAATTTATCTAAATTAGTGGTTGAGAGATTATCAGAATCCTGAAAATTGGGGAAATCACATTTCAGACTCCATTGCTATCTTCTTTGAAGATTTTTTAAGCAGGGAAGCAGGTAAACGGAGAAGAGGAATCAGAGTTCTGTGGCACAAACCTCAGTTGTCCTGAACGAAGAACAAGATATTCTGGTCACCCCAATGGTCAGTGGGGGGTTGAAAGGACCCTGATGAGGGGTCAAAGGCTGCAGTCCAGAGATCAGTTTCAATTCACCCTATGAGTGAATTACATACCCACAAATACTCCTAACTGTTCCTCTTTGTTGCACCTTCTTGTCTTTCTGGTTAGGCCGTACCTCGTTCCAGGTGTACAGAAAGATGTCGACCTGGATATGCCAAGGTGGTTCTGGAAGGAAAGCCCGTTTGCTGCTATGCTTGTGCTTGGTGTGCGGAAGGGACCTTCTCCGCCCAGGAAGGTGGGTGACTCCAAGGGGAAGGTATTTGTCAAGGAACTGCCATCGGAGCCAGAGCGAGAGGGAGAGCTCCAGAGGGATTCTGGAGAGCGTCCCGGGAGGGAGAGAAGCAGCCCATCTTCTGGGGAAGGAAATCAGCGTAGCACCAGTGGAGAAGGGGGGCAGATTGGGGAATCGGCGAGGTGGCTCCATGACTCCTCGCCAGAGACCTGCGGGGAGAGCACGGGTCCTCCGCTGCCCACACCCTCCCTGCGCAGAAGGCTTCCGCGCAGGGAGAGTAGGCGGAGACTAGGTGTCAAAGAGCTTCTTTGCTGGAAGAAGTTCAAGAAACGCCCACTGACGGATTCTGCCAGCGATTGAGACAGCCACAGGTGAGTGGCTCTCCGGACAGAAAGGGTTCACTCAGACAACTCAGCAAGGTGTGGCGCCGATTTATGCACGAGCAACCCCTAGAACCATTACAGTATTCCGAGAGAGAGTAAACACTGGGCAGTAATCCAGTCTCACACACTTTTTGTGAGAATTCTGCAGATATTGTGGAATGGAGCTCCTTCCTCAACTTCTTTAGGATTAATCACCTTTATTACATCCAGGAAGTGAGTTGATAGGAATGACCATGAGGAAGACATCTCTGGGGTTGAAAGTGGGCAGCTGTGAGAGGAATGCACATAAAGCATTCCTTTTTTATTTTTCATACCAAGTCACACCAAAAAGGAAATCATTTTGACATTTATAAAGAGTAATGGACAGGTGATGCAAACCAGCAAATTTTTAATAGCAAAAGCACAATAAAAAATAAAATATTTCATATGAAAATTATTACAATATAATCAATGGACTGTTTTGATCTCACTATGAACATTGCATGAAAGCAACAGAAAACTGCATTTCAAATGTCAAGTTAAAGAGCTGTTTCTTCAGGATTAGGCAGGATCCAAACAATGCAGTTAACAAAAGTGGAGTGCTCATTGCTACTCAGTTTATCCTACATCACAATTTTTGCTTTACCTCATTTAGCATTCTTATTTCCTGAGGTCCACCACAGAGTTTTTCAAAACGTAGCAGAGCACAGATCATTAGGGATGTAACTGATGCTGCAGCCACTCTTTTTCCTCTTCCTCAGATGCAGAACATTGCACCAAATGCTCAGAAGATCAGTATCCAAACAAGGACAGAAATCAATGTGTCCCCAAGATTATCATCTTCCTGGCTTATGAAGAATATTTGGGAATCGTGTTAGCTTCCGTTGCCCTCTTCTTATCTATAACAGCAGGCATTGTGTTGGGAATCTTCATTAAATACAAGGACACTCCCATAGTCAAAGCCAACAACCGGGACCTCTCCTACATCCTGCTCGTCTCCCTCCTGCTTTCCTTTCTGTCCTCCTTCCTCTTCATCGGGCGCCCAAGGAAAGAGACCTGCCTTCTCCGACAAACGGCCTTCAGCATCATCTTCTCAGTTGCTGTTTCTTCTGTCTTCGCAAAGACCATCACGGTGGTGCTGGCCTTTCTGGCCACAAAGCCCGGGAACAGGGTGAGGAGATGGCTGGGCAAGAGTGCTGGCCAACTCCATTGTCATCTCCTGTTCTGGGGGGCAAGTTCTCATCTGCACTATCTGGCTGGGCTCTTCTCCCCCATTCCCAGAGCCCGACATGCTCTCCCAGGTGGAAGAGATCATCCTGCAATGCAACGAAGGGTCTGTGGCCATGTTTTACGTTGCCCTCGGCTACCTGGGCTTCTTGGCTGCCACCTGCTTCACGGTGGCTTTCCTAGCCAGGAAGCTGCCTGGCTCCTTCAACGAAGCCAAGCTGATCACCTTCAGCATGCTGGTCTTCTGCAGTGTTTGGGTGTCTTTTGTGCCCACCTATCTGAGCACCAAGGGCAAGTACATGGTGGCCGTGCAGATCTTCTCTATGTTGGCCTCCAGTGCTGGGCTTGTGGGCTGCATCTTCCTTCCCAAGTGCTACATGATTGTGCTGAGGCCTGATCTGAACACAAAGGAGCACCTGACAACCAGAAATTAAGGGAACAGTTGATTCTTAAAATATTCCATGTTCCTGATGTCCAGAAGTGCATAAAGGAAACACACTTGCTCATCCATGTTGCTCATTCTTCATCTGTGAAAGAGATTGTGTTCATTCTTAGCCCAGGTTTTGTGTAGTCCTGTTGACATGAACCGTAAGATGGGAGGAAATGTTTTGCTACCTTGCTTTGCCAAGGACTACAATGAGTCCTGGTCTACTGCCCTTAGTTTGTAACGTTTTATCATTTAATCATTTTTTGCTTTGAGAAGTTATATTTATCTCACAACAAGATAGGCTGGAGGGAGGGAGGAGTTAGGTCTTTGAGTGTGAGTCCTTTGTCCTAACTACCTATTAACCATATCAATTCTGATATTCAACAATAGTTTCTAGTTATGTCATTTCTATTTATTGAATTTTCTCCATTTTCTACATGTATGCTGTATCATTCATAAGTACACTTCATGTCATTTCGTTCTCCTAAGCTTTGTATATCAATAAACTGAGAAATTCATTTAAGACATCTTCCGTAGTCTGTTGGTTTAATTTCTGTATTGTGTAAGCTCTGCTCTCTGTTCCAAAAAGTAGCAACTGACCTTAGCCAAGCCTTGACTGGAGTCCAATGGGTTTTATTACACTGGCCTGGATGTGACATGTTGTGCACTGATGTTGAGTGGATCACCAGATTACGAGTGAGCAAGCAAGAAGTTTAGCATTGGAGGGAAGCAATGAGACGAAGCCAGATAGTTGTATTCCCTGCCTGCCAAACCTTTTCAGAGGAGGCATCTTATGCTCAGTCTGGAAGGAATAGGGAGAGGCCTCCTCCTCCAACTCAGGTTCCTCCCATTCAGGTCCTCCTCCTCCAACTCAGGTTCCTCCCATTCAGGTCCTCCTCCTCCAACTCAGGTTCCTCCCATTCAGGTCCCCCTCCTCCAACTCAGGTTCCTCCCATTCAGGTCCTCCTCCTCCAACTCAGGTTCCTCCCATTCAGGTCCTCCTCCTCCAACTCAGGTTCCTCCCATTCAGGTCCTCCTCCTCCAACTCAGGTTCCTCCCATTCAGGTCCTCCTCCTCCAACTCAGGTTCCTCCCATTCAGGTCCTCCTCCTCCAAACTCAGGTTTCCTCCCATTCAGGTCCTCCTCCTCCAACTCAGGTTCCTCCCATTCAGGTCCTCCTCCTCCAACTCAGGTTCCTCCCATTCAGGTCCTCCTCCTCCAACTCAGGTTCCTCCCATTCAGGTCCCATTATAGAGCAAAGCCAAGATCAAAAGAGCAAGTAAAAATAATTTACAGATCAGCCACTGACAAAGCATTTATATTAATTAGTCAAGATTTGCATCCTACTTAAACTTTCATCACTTCAAATTGGTGGAAACTCTCATTCTTATTACGATTCAACTTGTAGCATTCCAATGAAGGGTGCTATATAAATTTAAGCTGGGAGCAGCCTCTGGCTTGACTTATTTCATTATTCTTACTAATATTAATAAGTAATAAAGTATGAATTTGGGGGGAGGGGAATACATTACATTAGTGTCCAGTCATTTCATTTCTATAGGATACTTCATTTCAATCAATCAATCCAATCTTTATTACAGTAGTAGACCAGCATCAGTAGAGTGGGGTACAATCATTTTCAGTCTGTAAAACGTTTCGGAAAGCGAAAAAGTATTTAACACAAAGTATACATAAAAGTCTAAAAGACGCTAAAAGAAGGGTTTGGGGGCATTAAACGGATGTGGATGAGCATAAAAGGTTAGTATATAAAGACTATGGCCACCAATTTACAGAGCACTCTGATATGAGTGTTCATTAAATCTAGCATAATAATAGTAATGAAAAGGTGTGGCAATGGAGGAGTGCAGGGAAAAGAAAACTCCTGGCACTCATTTTTTCTTGCCAAAGAATTAAAAGATTTCTCCGCCTTTCTCCTTCTTTTTCCCTTGGGTGGTGTCTTCAGCGGTCACCCTCAGGGGAAACAGGTCCCCCCCCCCTTGGAGGAAATGGACTGATCGGAACCTGGCTGTGACATCGGCTCAGAATCCCAGCCTCACTTTGCAGTTGAGGCCAATCCCTGCCTTGCGCAGCAGCCTTTGGGTGCCTTATCTGCGTCTGCAAAGTGAGAAGATTAACGTCTGGGAAAATGGTGAGGGGACCAGCAGGAAACTGCTAAGGGAGTTTGGAGTCCTTTTATTCTGTTGCAGTTGGAGAGAAAAGAAGGTGGGGGTGGGGGTCCGCCCCAGGTGTCATCCCTGAGGGGGGTGGCAAAAGGACAAAAAGCCGAGTTTAAAAATAAATAAAAATTGGCCTCACCAAACCTTTTAGATGAGTCAAAAAACGCGGCTGGCACTGGGCGCCACACCGCGGGGGCTGGCACTTACCGGGGGGGGGCTGCAGAGTGCCTGATCCACACATCTCTCCTGGGGATGACGTGGTGGCTTGGGCCCCTGCAGGCTGGGCGCTGCCTGAAACAGCAGCGTGGGGCTTGCGTCTGCCCCCTGCCCCCCCCCGGCCACAGGACCCCCACCTTGAACCGGGCACACGAGTGGCTGGTTTGCCGCTGTTCTGTTGTTTGAATTATGGGTGCCTTGAGAGTTAATGTGCTGTGCTTGCTGCCCCACTTGTCCTGATGGACCAGCCCCCCATGGCAGCAGGGCTGTAGGGCTTCCCTGGCTAGAGACTCAATGTGGGCAAGGAGAGTTTGCCTTCTGGGTTCCTGTCTCATTTTGGGATGCTCTCTTTCTCCTTTCCTTTCTGGGGTCCTGTCTCTGCCAGCAGTCAGCCATTGAGGATGACAATTTCAATGAAAAGGAGGAGGAGGCCAAAGCCGAGGAGGAGACGACTGCAAGACGAATGGATCTCCTCAGCCCTGACTGGGTAGGTGGCCGTGGCCTAAGCGGTGATTGGCAGAAGGGGAGGGGGGCATATCAACTGCAGAATGTTTGGTTGTGTTTTTTAATTGCTCGTTTTTTGCATCTTTTCCTTGCAGGTTCCAAGTATGTCACCATTTTCGAGTGTTTCCTCCCTGTCCTCCGTGTCCTCCCTGTCCTCCCTGGATTCCCTTTGGGACTCCCTCAATGAGGTACGTAGCAGACAGAGCAGGAGGGAAGCCCTGCTGAGCTGGGCAACCCTGAGGCTGGGGAGGAGGAGGAGGAGGAGGAGGAGGAGGAGGAAGCCGGCCGGCCGGTCAGGCCACCTTCTGGACTGGTCGTGAGCAAGGGGGCAGGCAGGCAGGGGGCTGCTAAGGGTATGCTTGCTGCCCCACTTGTCCTGATGGACCAGCCCGCCATGGCGCCAGGGCTGTAGGGCTTCCCTGGCTAGCGACTCAATGTGGGCAGGAGAGTCTGCCTTCTGGGTTCCTGCCTGTCTCATTTTGGGCTGCTCTCTTTCTCCCCTCTCCCCACCACCACTGACACCACCTCTGCGGTCATGTCTCTGCTGGCAGGCAGCCTCTGAAGTGGCTCTCAAGGAAGAGCCACAAGAAGAACCAGGGAGTCCCCCAGAGGAGGACGGGGAGGACAAGGAGGACGGGGAGGACCTTGTTATGGCATGCCCCCCACCTGAAGAACACCTGGAGGAAAGCATAATCAAGGTCAGACGAAACATACATTCATTCATCACATATGAAAAGCTTTCCTGAACAGGGCTGTCTTCAGATGTCTTCTAAAAGTCAGATAGTTGTTTATTTCTTTGACATCTGGCGGGAGGGCGTTCCACTGGGCGGGTGCCACCACCGAGAAGGCCCTCTGCCTGGTTCCCTGTAACTTCGCTTATCGCAGTGGGGAACCGCCAGAAGGCCCTCAGCGCTGGATCTCAGAACGATGGGGGTGGAGATAATTCTCCTGGGTTGCTTTTGGTTTGGTATTTGTTTTGTAAGATAACTCTTTTGAATGCGTTTCCAGGTGCCTCCTGCCAAATGAAGTTATTAATTGCAAAGTGGGTTTGGCGATAATAAAACCATGTTGGCACTTTGCAAAGCCGGTTCTCTCTGGGGTTTTCCTGCCTCCTATACCTTCCCCCCACCCTCTTGTTCTTGGTTTTGTGTCTCGTTCAGATCTCTCCAAGGCTGACCACATGAGAACTTGGGAGAGGAGTGTTCCCTCCTGACTTCAACCCTTTCATATAACGCCTTGCCCCAAAAAAGAAAAGGAGGGATTATGACAGCCTGCCACCACACAGGCCCTTCTCCTTCACAAACGGTCCGGAGGGCAGCATCACAAGAAGGGGCCTTTTCTGTGGTGGCTCCCCACTTGCGGAATGCTCTTCCCAGGGAGGCTCATCTGGCATCTTCATTATGTATCTTTAGGTGCCAAGCAAAGACGTTTCTCTAGAACAGAGCTTTCCAAACTGTGTGCTCCTCCCAGGGCTGGAAAAGGGCTAGTTGAACTGAATCCCTGTGTTGCGAAATGAGGCATGTCTCCAAAGTGTGTCACCAACATGGAAAGTTCTGCTCTAGAACCAGCCTTGGGCTAATTGGACAACGCATGGCCTTTTCAACATGCTTGTGGATTGGGAGGTTGGCTTATGAGTTCATTTTTGTTTTTAATACATATGTTGTGTTTTTATTTTGTATTTTTATGCTGTAAGCCGCCCTGAGAGCTTCAGGGTTTAATCAATCAATCAATCAATCAATCAATCGATTAATGATTGTGCATTTCCCCAGAATCTGGAGGTGAATTGTTTACTTTTCTCATAGGACTGTGAGGAAGAGAGGCCCCCGGAGACCCCCACTTGCCTCGGCCTCTGTTCTGCCTTCTCCTGGGTCCGGAATATCTTTAAAAGATCACCACCACCAGCACAAGCAGGAACCACCACCAGCAGCGGGTTCGGCACGCGGCTCAGGCGCTGGATGCGGCAGCATCGCAGCTGTGTCCACCCCGAACCAAGGTGAGGAGGAGTTGGGAGGCTTGCACCGATCCACCCGGGGGGATTTTGCCACCCCCCTGGGATGACACTTGGGGCGATACCTCCCCCCCCCCGCACCCGCCTTCCTCCGCCAGTGGTGGCAGGGGAAGTAGCACCTGGAGGCGCGCGAGTCCCTAAGGGACTCCTTTTCTTTGTCTTTGCACAGGTCTTAATCCTTGTGGAGGAGGAGCTGAAGAGGAAAGATCAGAACGCGAGCTATGTCAGCGGCAGGCAGGTCGGCGCGGGCGGCAGGGCGCTGCTTCAGCCCCCTGCTCCGTATTGGACCTGAGTCAAAACTGAACCTTGTGATCAAGCATCGCCTGAGGAACCTGGCCGCAGAGCTGGACCCCCACAGAACCCTGTCATCTGGCACACACTGGCCCAAGTCCTAGGCAGGCATTTCGGCGTAGCTGATGCTGAGAAGGTGTTGGAGCAACTGCAAAAGGATTATGAGCGGAGCCTTTGATTACTGAGCTTGGATGACATTGAGCGCTTGGCCACACGCTTGCTTCACCCTGAAGTGGCTGAAGCTGTAGAAATGGGCTTTCTGGATTAGCTGGTGAACTTGGGGACTGAGCCTGCCTTTTTGGACAGAAAGGGCCCAGCTTGGGGCTTATTGGGGGCGATCCCTCTGGACTGCTGTTAAAGGGGCACAGAGCATCTGTAGCCACACCCCGTCCATTAAAGGTGGTGATGGGTGAGACTGATCTACTCTGTCTAGTGTGTTCGTCTGAAGTGAGGGAATGACTCTTGGGGAAAGATTGCTTGCCCAGTACTGAGAGATGCATCTGCCACTGGGCTTGGGTGCTGCTGTGTTTAATAATGTGGGGGTTTTCTTTTTCATCACCCAAGCCTGGTTGCATCTAATAGATTCATATTTATTGTTGTATCCAAAGGCCATCCTAAAAATAAAGTTTACCAGAATTTTTAAAAAAACACCAACTCCATGGAAATATTTTTGTGGGTGGACGTTATTTCTGATCATTCACATTGTTCTGATTGGTACCTGATTGATTAAACTCAATCCTTAACACCATCTGAATCACTTGCTATTGGTTTAGATATATGTATATAAATTCATAACATCATTGTAAAGTTAAAATAACAAGAAGGAAAAAAAGAGACGCGGGTGGCGCTGTGGGTTAAACCACAGAGCCTAGGACTTGCTGATCAGAAGGTCGGTGGTTCGAATCCCCCTGATGGAGTGAGCTCCCGTTGCTCGGTCCCTGCTCCTGCCAACCTAGCAGTTCAAAAGCACATCAAAGTGCAAGTAGATAAATAGGTACCGCTCCAGCGGGAAGGTAAACGGCGTTTCCATGCGCTGCTCTGGTTCGCCAGAAGCGGCTTAGTCCTGCTGGCCACATGACCCGGAAGCTGTACACCGGCTCCCTCAGCCAATAAAGCGAGATGAGCGCCGCAACCCAGAGTCAGCCACAGTCAGGGGTCCCTTTACCTTTTTAAGAAAAAAATATGACAAAAGGGGGGGGGATGTACCAAGTCTAAGTCCAAGTCTAATTTAAAGGGTTCCTCAGATAAAATACATTCTCAAGAGACTACACAATGAATTAGATGTTGCAACGGAACTGACCTGCCACAAAGGGAATACAAAATAAAGATTGTGAATACCACCAATTAAGCCATGTTTCACTGGGACCTGCCACTCCTATTTGACATATAAACGTAATCTGAATTTCTTGTAATCATTTACAGGGCTTCAGAGACTGGTTTGTAACCTTCAGCCAAGTATTCTGGGGAGTGTATTTTATTTTTTTTACTGCTTTTGTTCCTGTCAGATTGTAATTTTTTCCTATGAAATTCACATCATAATACAGCTATTGTGTTGGAAACAATGGTTAACTTAACAGGTAGCGTGATCCTGAGTACAAAAACAGAGGCGGTTTTGATCATAAGATTATTCCATTGTGTTTTTTTCACTCAATCAGTCCCGGAGTGGACTAACTGAAACCAGTGGCATTTAAGTCCAGTCATATCCATTCATTTCAGTCAGTCTGGTTCTGAGTGGGTCTGAAGTTGAACGCAACACCCAATAAACAAAACAATATTTCCCCTGGTTCCATTTCGGAATGCCGTGACAGTGATCTACTTCTGTGTCAACGCTCCCCCCACACGCAAAGAAAAACCCAAAACCTGCAGGAAGACCATCCGGTTGCACTTTTCCTTCACCTGCTTGCAGATAAACCATCCACGCCAGGTGTCAGGGAACTGCCATCGGAAGGACAGGAGGTGGAAGGGCTCACTGAGGTTGAGACAGACTTAGCAGCTGAAGAGGGAACCAGCAGGGGGAGAGGAGGAGCTCCGAGGGAAAGTGAGTCGGAGGGATGGCTCAGGGACACTTCCAGCGAAAACAGTGGGGAGGTTTCAAGACCTCCTATAGGGACACCCACTCCTCGCCGGAAACTGTCACGCCGAGAGTCCCGAAGACGTGTTTCCGTTAAGGAGCTTTTATGCTGGAAGAGATTCCGTAAGCGCCCACTTTCGGATTCTGCTAGCGACTGACAGAGCCATGCTTGAGGGGCTCCATCGTAGGCAGAGGTTTGCGGACTTGGCCAAACTCTGAGGGACTAGGATTTTACGCACAAGCAGCTCATCATCCCTTCACACCAGGCATAAGCAAACCCTGACCCTCCAGATGTTTAGGACTACAATTCCCATCATCCCTAGCTAACAGGACCAGCGGTCAGGGATGATGGGGATTGTAGTCCCAAACATCTGGAGGGCCGGAGTTTGCCTATGCCTTATCCACACCACCGTGAGCTCCTTACAGGAAAAGTAGGGTTATAAATGCAATAATTAGTGAAATAAATTAAATAAGAATAAGAATAATAAATTTTATTTATACCCTGCCCTCCCCAGCCAAGGCCAGGCTCAGGGCAGCTAACAACCAATAATAAAAACGAGTTGAATGAATACAACTTAAAACAAGATTAAAATACAACATTAAAACTTTAAAACAATTAAAATGCAGCCTCATCACAGGAGGAGAAAGGAAAAAGAGGGGGAGGGAATCTATATATATATATATATATATATATATATATATTTGCTTTCGTAGATTTTCACGGGTACAGGAATGCAGGTTTTGGTGTCCTCGGGTGTCTTCCCGTGTAAAA